TATCATCAGGAACTACTGGTTGTAACTCCTCTTGGTTTGACTGGATCGTCTCTTTTTCCTCTGGCTGAACCTCTGGGTTGTCTGCATGTTCTTTTTTGACAGGATCCTCCTCATTATGAACCAAATTCAGCTGTGGGATACGCTGCTTAGCCCAGAAATTAGCACCTTGTATGATTTGGTGGGTCTTGACACTCGTGTCTTTGCTTGAGCAATGAATAGAAGGTAAATAAAGTTTAATCACAAGCTTGTTTGGGACAGCGAAGCATGGTTTGCACGTGCACATGGAGACCCCACGAGAACTGCAAACCTCACCTGGGATTAAAGAAAATTTTCACCATGGCGACAATCACCAAGCAGCCCACGATCAACCTCATAAACTTCTGAATGTTCATGTCTGCTTCTGTGCAGGTGAATGCGATAAACCATAGAAATGAAGGCAGGTGTTGAACTCAGGTGACCTTCGAAACAAAATTTGCATTGAAAAGCAAGAGACGGAATGAAAAGCTTAAAAATCTTTACCTGTTTAAATGACAATGGAAAAGCCTCCACTTCTAAACACATCAGGGGCCAGTTGCATAAACTTAGCCTCTATATTAAGACCTACATTAAGTCCGACTAGCAGTTAGCCAGAAATCAGTCTCATTTTTGGATTCAACTTATAATCTATGCTTTTATGTAACTGAATTTTTAAAAAATTATGACCAGGCTTTGATGGCTATCTTATAAGACCAGTCTAAACCGTTCATGCAACTGGCCCAAGTTTATGAATTTAATAATAATAATAATAATTCATAATAATAATAATAACAATAAAACACTTTACAAATGCAAATGAAAACGTGGTCTTTAAAAAAAAATGTGGGAATGCATCAATAATCAAAGTAGATCAACAACATAACATGCATTTAATATATTTCCTCACAATTCGGCCTCTTTAGCATTAAAATATATATTTTCTCTTGCTCAAATAGCAGACATGACGCTTTATAAATGAATGCATGTTGTTATCACTTTAGAGAAACACCGAAATGTAAACTTACTCCGTTAAAGACCATTAATCCTTTAGATAAAAGACTTTATGTAGCATATAAGCAGACATGGATTTACTTCCGTGTGTAGTTTCTTGCTGCAGCAAGTGCATTTGTGTGGTTGAAAAACGCGACAGGTTCAACCCGTTTAACGTGACGTACTTACAAGAGGTTATTTGAATAATATGAACTGATAATTTGATGACAAATGGTCGGCAGACATCTTTCTGCACTTGACCGAGCGAGCACCTGAACGATAACAGCGTGACAGTGAAAGTAAGTGTGCGCGTCACATCGATGCTTTACGGCGCCTGGTGTCCAGTGCATCAAACACTGAGGGACCGTAACGTAACTAATAAATGCGCACACAAATAAAGCCAGTTGCTACAGCACATCATATGACTTCATTTGGTTTAAAAACAGATTACATTTGGATAGTTGTCATAACGTGTCAAGAAGTGCCAGCGGAGTCCTGTTGTGTTACACGATATATCTAATTTCAAACAGCTTTTTCTAATTCTCGTATAATTATTCATTTCACATGCAGTTTTTTACGTTTTCATAATTAAAGGACTACATATGCCTACTTACCATATGATATTTGCTTACTTTTCAAGACAAAACACATATAAAAATATATTTGACCAGTTATATTTTATATAGCAGGTCCAATGTCTAGTGAAAAAATTGCATTATCATGTTAATGTAAAAACTCTCTCTCTCTCTCTCTCTCTCTCTTTAGCTTCTTCTTTTTAAAATAAGGTGTCTTTAAATGTGAGTCTTATGTGAAAATACGTTATCTTAAAATGAGACACATTTAAATTTCTCTACCCTATCTTGTTAAATGCAAAAAAACTTGTTTTGCATTTAAAAACATGTTGAATCGATAACAGCAGTAACACATGTGACAAAATATAGTTGACCTGTAGTCATATTAGCCTAGTTCTTTAAGTCCCGCCCTTAACCTCTCACTGTTTGCTTTGATTGGACAGAGCCACTTTCAAGCGGCCTACGAGGATTGCAGTGGGTAGAAATAAAACACTTTACAAATGCAAATGAAAACGTGGTCTTTAAAAAAAAAAATGTGGGAATCCATCAATAATCAAAGAAGATAAACAACATAACATGCATTTAAAATATTTCCTCACAATCCGGCCTCTTTAGCATTAAAATATATATTTTCTCTTGCTCAAATAGCAGACATGACGCTTTATAAATGAATGCATGTTGTTATCACTTTAGAGAAACACCGAAATGTAAACTTACTCCGTTAAAGACCATTAATCCTTTAGATAAAAGACTTTATGTAGCATATAAGCAGACATGGATTTACTTCCGTGTGTAGTTTCTTGCTGCAGCAAGTGCATTTGTGTGGTTGAAAAACGCGACAGGTTCAACCCGTTTAACGTGACGTACTTACAAGAGGTTATTTGAATAATATGAACTGATAATTTGATGACAAATGGTCGGCAGACATCTTTCTGCACTTGACCGAGCGAGCACCTGAACGATAACAGCGTGACAATGAAAGTAAGTGTGCGCGTCACATCGACGCTTTACTGCGCCTGGTGTCCAGTGCATCAAACACTGAGGGACCGTAACGTAACTAATAAATGCGCACACAAATAAAGCCAGTTGCTACAGCACATCATATGACTTCATTTGGTTTAAAAACAGATTACATTTGGATAGTTGTCATAACGTGTCAAGAAGTGCCAGCGGAGTCCTGTTGTGTTACACGATATATCTAATTTCAAACAGCTTTTTCTAATTCTCGTATAATTATTCATTTCACATGCAGTTTTTTACGTTTTCATAATTAAAGGACTACATATGCCTACTTACCATATGATATTTGCTTACTTTTCAAGACAAAACACATATAAAAATATATTTGACCAGTTATATTTTATATAGCAGGTCCAATGTCTAGTGAAAAAATTGCATTATCATGTTAATGTAAAAACTCTCTCTCTCTCTCTCTCTCTCTCTCTCTTTAGCTTCTTCTTTTTAAAATAAGGTGTCTTTAAATGTGAGTCTTATGTGAAAATACGTTATCTTAAAATGAGACACATTTAAATTTCTCTACCCTATCTTGTTAAATGCAAAAAAACTTCGAAATGGAAAAACTTCGATGTTGAATCGATAACAGCAGTCTTCTTTTTAAAATAAGGTGTCTTTAAATGTGAGTCTTATGTGAAAATACGTTATCTTAAAATGAGACACATTTAAATTTCTCTACCCTATCTTGTTAAATGCAAAAAAACTTGTTTTGCATTTAAAAACATGTTGAATCGATAACAGCAGTAACACATGTGACAAAATATAGTTGACCTGTAGTCATATTAGCCTAGTTCTTTAAGTCCCGCCCTTAACCTCTCACTGTTTGCTTTGATTGGACAGAGCCACTTTCAAGCGGCCTACGAGGATTGCAGTGGGTAGAACAGATTAAAAGGGTCATATGATGCTGCTAAAAAAAACGTTATTTTGTGTATTTGGTGTAATGAAATGTGTTTATTAAGGTACCTCTGGGAAGGAATGAGATCAAATCAGTAATTAATAGGGAAATAATAAGAATATGGCAACAAAGATGGGAAAATAGCAGCACAGGTAGGTGGTATTATAATATTGTAAAATTAGTATTGGAAAAAAGAACAGTTTTATGGAAGACACAGAAAGGAAGAAGTAATGATTTCTAGATTAAGGATGGGTCACACAGGACTAAATTCAACACTTGCATTAATGGGGAAGCATGAAAATGGTATGTGTGATGAATGTGATGTTTTTGAAACAGTAGAGCATGTGCTTTTTAAATGTAGTAAATATAAAGATCAGCGTAAGTCTTTTTAGCAATATAAGGAACAGGCCAGTGAGTGTCGTGCACCTTCTGGGAAAGGGTTTGAGTGATAGTCAGATGTTTAAGGTGGTTTTAACATTTTTAGAGCTCACAGGATTAGACCACAGGATTTAGTGTTTGAGGATGAGGACCATCTCGGAGGTTGAGGAGCACAGTGTGGAAGCTGGAGGAGCTGAACACACAGAGCCAGCTGAAGCTTGGGCTCTGATCCTCTGGGGGATTTTTGGTAATTTGTAATAAGTAAATACACTGATTTGCAATATTTATATAATATACAGACTTCAGCATGTTTTATGAGTATGTAGTTACAGCAATGTTGTTTTTAAAACATAAAAAATCGCTAATATTTGAGGATTAGTGTGATCAAGCATTACCTGCCTATGCAGTATATGCATATACATATTTTAGGCTAACATAGCCTTGTTTACGTCGTTTATTGTGATTTCACTAATCCCATTGTAAAGGCCTAAGTATTCTAATGAGTAATGTCATCTTTGACTTTCAGATAGGACGGGAGACCAACACTTCAGAGGTGATTGTCAGCTCACACCACAGTGGGTCAGTCGACAGCATGATTGTATGTGGACAGCATGTGTTGTCTTAGAAAATTAATTGGAAGAAAATAACAAGAAAAATTTACATTTTATTAAGTGAATAATAATGTTTACAATTCTAATGCCACCACGAATTTATTAGTATATACATATACATAATATACTGTATTAATTAAAAAAATGAATGTTCAATAAAAAAAACATCTGATTATATATATATATATATATATAATGTGTTTATGAGTATATATATAAAAAAAATGTATCAATGGAATATATATATATATATACACAGACACAAATACATATGTTCATGTAAAAATTAATATTCCATTAACAAACATTATACACACAAATACATAATTAAAAAAAAAAATTCAATTAAAAACATCTGTGTGTGTGTATATATATATATACATACACACACACACACACACAAATAATTAAAAAGATGAATATATTCAATTAAAAAAAATCTGATTGTGTGTTTTGACTTTTGCTATGCACATACTTATAGCACTGCATTTATAAATACATTTCTAATAAAATGAATTGTCTGTTTCCTTTTCTCCACGATGTCCTTGTATAGTCTCCACCATGGTTTGCTGTGCTGCATGGGGATGCTCCAATCCTTCTGAGAAAGGAGTGCGAATGTATGGCTTCCCTGCTGACACAGAGAGGAGGAAAAAATGGTTGGCTCAAGTCAGCAGGAGCAATATAAAAATAAAACAAAGTTACAACAGCAACAAAACTTATGAGGTAAACTTAAGAGTATTTGCACTTTTCCACAAAAACCACATACCTTTTTAAACCATGTTTTTCATGCTTGTTTAATGAACCATAAACAAGTCCTTAAAGGGGTCATATGATGCTTTTTTAAAGATCATTATTTTGTGTATTTGGTGTAACAGAATGTTGACATGCTTTAATGTTCAAAAAACACATTTTTCAAATACTGTACATTATTGTAGGTCCTCTATGCCCCGCCTCTCTCAAACGCTTCGTTTTCTACAAAGTCCCTCCTTCCGACAAGCGCAGTCTGCTCTGATTGGCCAGCTGACCCAGTGCATTGTGATTGGCCGAACACCGCAAGCACACTGAGATAACAGAGCTGTGTGTAGGAAGTAAACTCAAATAAACTCACTCTGCAGGCCCATTTTGAGGCAGACCAGTTTGTCAGGAACAAAAAGGTCAAGACAAGACTGAGAGCAGGTGCTGGAAGCTACCAGGAAGACGACAGTAGCTTTTTGGCAGACTTCCTGGACACTGTGGAGCAAAATATCACTCCATCAGTCAGAGTGGAAGAGCTGATTGCAGTAAACAGAAAAGCACCTGACCTCACAAAAACTGAGAAATGTATCCTCTTCCAGCACCCAGCCAACATATCTGACCCTCCACCTGTAACATCATTGGTCATCACCACTCCTGACCTGTACCATCCTCTTCCTGCAGCACTCTTGACATGCAACATCAGTAATATAATTCATTACAATTATTATTTTTCTAATATACATTGCATATTCTGTTTAGCATGGCTTCTTATATAATATGGCAGTAGAATACACATTTAGCATGGTACCTTATTGCTGGCTTGATAGAAACATACCTTGTTATGTTTTCAATTTCACCATGGTCCCTTCAGCACTGCTTCAACCCTTATGCTCCATCACATACAGTGGGTATGGAAAGTATTCAGACCCCCTTAAATTTTTCACTCTTTGTTATATTGCAGCCATTTGCTAAAATCCTTTAAGTTAATTTTTTTTCCTCATTAATGTACACACAGCACCTCATATTGACAGAAAAACACAGAATTGTTGACATTTTTGCAGATTTATTAAAAAAGAAAAACTGAAATATCACATGGTCATAAGTATTCAGACCCTTTGCTGTGACACTCATATATTTAACTCAGGTGCTGTCCATTTCTTCTGATCATCCTTGAGATGGTTCTACACCTTCATTTGAGTCCAGCTGTGTTTGATTATACTGATTGGACTTGATTAGGAAAGCCACACACCTGTCTATATAAGACCTTACAGCTCACAGTGCATGTCAGAGCAAATGAGAATCATGAGGTCAAAAGAACTGCCTGAAGAGCTCAGAGACAGAATTGTGGCAAAGCACAGATCTGGCCAAGGTTACAAAAAAAAATTCTACTGCACTTAAGGTTCC